CCAAGGTTCTTTGAGACAGATTCTATGTTCACACTCTTGGGATAGGCACCAACCTTCAATTAGCAACACCTGATCAGTTTCCCACTCATCCCTCTCCTCCCAAGCCTTCAAGGTCTGAGCACATGTTGGTATACGTGTTTGGTAAATTGGTATGGAAGGACAGCTTGCCCAGGAAGGACAGGCAGGAAAAAAAGGGAGCAGGTGTTGCCTTATATATTAAAAATGTACACACTTGGACTGAAGCTGAGATGGACTAGGAGACAGATTTGTTAAGAATCTCTGAGTAAGGTTAAAAGGGTAAAAAACAAGAGTGATGTCATGATGGGGATCTATTACAGAACACCAAATGAGGAAGAAGAGGTGGACGAGGAAATGTTTTTAAACAATAAAGAGAAGCTAGATAATTTCATGGAGGTTAGGTTCATAAAAGGCTATTAGCCAGGGGATAAAATGGTGTCCCTGGCCTCTGTTTGTCAAAGGCTGGAGAGGGATGGCAGGAGACAAATCGCTTGATCATTGTCTTTAGTCCACCCCCTCTAGGGCACCTGGTGCTGGCCGCTGTCGGCAGATAGGCTACTGGGCTAGATGGACCTTTGGTCTGACCCAGTATGGCCATTCTTATGTTCTTATCCAAAACACAGATCTTGGGGGTGGGAGACTTCAACTAACCAGACATCTGTTGAGAAAACAACACAGCAGGGTACAGATTATCCAATGTATTGTATGGAATGGATTGTAGACAAAGTTGTATTTCAGAAGGTGGAGAAAGCTACTGGGGGAAGACTGTTCTAGACTTGATTTTAACAGAGGAACAGGCTAAGAATTTGAAAGTGGAAGGCAGCTTGGTTGAAAGCGATCACAAAATGACAGAGCTCACGATTCTAAGGAATGGTAGAAGGGAGAAGAGAAAAATAAAGTCAATGGATTTCAAGAAGGTAGATTTTAGCAAACTCAAGGAGCTGATAGGTAAGGTCCCATGGGAAGCAAGACTAAGAGAAAAAACAACTGATAGCTGGTAGTTTTTCAAAGGAACATTACTAAGGGTGCAAGAGCATTCCACTGCCTAGAAAAGATGGGGAGTATGGCAAGAGGCCACCTTGGCTTAACTAGGAGCTCTTGAATGATCTAGAACTCAAAAAGGAGTCCTATAAAAAGTGGAAAGTAAGTCAAAGTACAAAGGATAAATATAAACAACAAAATGTAAGGGCAAAATTAGGAAGGCGAAGACATAAAACAAGTTCAGTCTAGCTAGAGATATAAAGGATAACCAGAAAACATTCTACAAATATATGTAGAAGCAAGAGGAAGACCAAGGACGGGGTTGGCCCATTGCTCAGTGAAGAGGGAAAAACAATAAACAGAAAACATGGAAATGACAGAGGTACTTAACTTCCTTGTGTCCGTTTTCACCAAGAAGGGTGGTAGCGATTGGATGCCTAACATAGTGAATACCAGTGAGAATGGGGCAGCTTCAGAAGTTAAAATAGGAAAAGAACAAGTTAAAAATTACTTAGAAAGTTAGATAACTTCAAGTCACCAGGGCCGGATGAAATACTCAAGGAGCTGATTGAGGAGGTATCTCAGCCATTAGCTATCATCTTTGAAAAGTCACGTTAGTTGGGAGATATTCCAGAAGACTGGAAAAGGGCAAATCTGGTGCCCATCTATAAAAAGGGAAGTAAGGCCAACCCAGGAAACTATAGACAAATCAGCTTAACTTCTGTCAGGAAAGAGAATAGAGCTAATAATTCAGGAATCCATCTGCAAGCATCTAGAAGATAAGGTGATACATAACAGCATGGATTTGTAAAGAACAAATCCTGTCAAACCAATCTGATAGCTTTCTTTGATAGGACAAGCAGCCTTGTGGATAAGAAGGAAGAAGTAAACATGGTAAACCTAGACTTTAGTAAAGCACGTGATACAGGGTCACATAACCTCCTTATCAATAAACTAGGGAAATACTACGCAGATGGGGCTACTATAAGGTGGGTACATAACTGATTGTATAACCATTCTCAGGGAGTAGTTATCAACGGTTCAGAGTAATGCTGGAAGGGCATAACAGGTGAGGTTTTGCAGGGATCAGTTTTGGGACCGGTTCTGTTCAAGATCGTCATCAATTTAGACATTGGCATAGAGAGTACGCTTATAAAGTTTGCAGATGATCCCAAGCTGGAGGGGTTGCAAGTGTTTTGGACGACAGGGTCATCATTTTAAATGATCTGGACAAATGGGAGAAATGGCAGTAAATAGGATGCCGTTCATTAAGGACAAATGCAAAGTGCTCCACTTAGGCTACATCTAAACTACATCCCTTTTTCAGAAAAGGGATGTAAATTAGACATATCGAAATTGCTAATGAAGCGGGGATTTAAATCTCCCGCCCTTCATTAGCATAAAAATGGCTGCCGCTTTTTTTCGGCACGGAGCTTTGTCGGAGAAAAGCAGCAGTCTAGATGCTGATCTTTCAAAAAATAAAGCCTTTTTCGCAAGATCCTGTAAATCTCATTTCATGAAATACTGCAGAAAGGGATCTAGAGGGTTGCATTTGGAGCCATGGTAAAATTGCAGAATCCCCCCAGGACTAAGTATTGTCTACACTCTAAAAGTATTTGTGCTTCAAACTCTTGCCAATAAATTGGTACTGTCCACAGCTACTGGTTTGGGCAACACACCAAAAGCTCAAAATGCGCAGCTCCAGTGAACTGTTTACATGATTCTCACGTCTGGACACATTTGTACTGACACAGAAGCTGCTGCATGGCGGTGGAGGAGGGGTGGCATAAGGCAGCCTTGTTGGCATGGATACAAGAGACCACGCCAGGGCCTGCCAGACTGGAGACAAACCAGAAGGGGAAAGAATTTTTGAAGAGTTGGTTACATGCAAGGGACGCCCACCCATCCCCCTACGGATCAAGGCCACATTCGGAGCCGTAAGCAGGCACGGCTCCAGTGACCTCATTGCTTAACTCTTCTGAGGTCCCCCAGGAAAGTCCATTCTGTTTACACAGGGAAACGGACGAGCATAACTCCAGGAGAAAACCTATTTCACTGAAGCCATTACACTGGAAAACAGCCCCATACTCTGGAAGCAGGAATTATTCAGGAATAAGTAAGTGCCCCTCTAACTCCTGGGACAGAAAGTGGGGGGGCTAGGAAGGGTCACATGCTCCCCCCAGTGCCATAGAGGGAAGGGGCAAGGGGCTCTTTCAGCCATGCTACTCTCCCACGCAGCCTCTGGTCATGCTGGTGAGCACAGTGGGACAGACATCGGACAGGGACAGCGTGTGGGCCCAGGCTAGAGGTGGCACCGGGGGTGGGGCTGGTGCCACCTCGTGTCCCTCTCCACTAGTAGCCTAGGCTTACTCCCGATTCCAACTTCCAAAGGATGGGGGAATTACAATGACACAGGAATAATTATTCTGCTCTGGCTATGCTGGCCAGTTTCCCCACGTAGACATGCCCGAACAGAGACACCCGTGCAGCTGGGAATAGCAGCCGCAGCGCTTTGGAATAGGTGGCCTGCGTGAGGGGCTACGCACAGAGTAACCGACAGGGGAGAAAGACAATTGTGCGGTTGTATTGTCGTAAAGAAAGGAACATTTTAAATCGGAGGGCTCACGTCGGAGCGGCCACGGGCCGAACCACTTTGAGTCCCTGCTGTGTTCACTGCTCAGGAGAGGGACGCACACACTGGAGAGACTTGCTGGGTTCATTCATCCTTGCAACATGCTGATACAATTGTTTCAAGATTTACCAAGGAAAATAGGAACGGCCAGACTGGGTCAGACCAAAGGTCCATCCAGCCCGGTACCCTGTCTGCCCACAGTGGCCAATGCCAGGTGCCCCAAAGGGAGTGAATCCAACAGGTAACGATCAAGCGATCCCTCTCCTGCCATCCATCTCCACCCTCTGACAAACAGGCTGGGGGCACCATTCCCTCCCCAGCCGGGCTAATAGCCATTAACGGACTTAACCTCCATGAATTTATCTAGTTCTCTTTTAAACCCTGTTATAGTCCTAGTCCTATTTTCCCGGCTTCTCTCACTGCAGAGCCACATGTACCAAAAAGGAAGGGGGCACCCAGGATATAGAAAGCAGCTAGGAAACCATGTTTCACTACCACCATACTTACGGGTTCAGAAGAACCCAAAAAGTTGAACAGGACAGGATCATCTCAGAGGGCTGACTTCCATTAACATTGAGATTTACTTCCTGTAAATAAGAGTTTCCCCTCTACAAGCCAGATTCTTCCACCCTGAGGGTACCTCTACACTGCCACACTATTTTAAAATAACTAGCGCTATTCCAAAATAACTTAACTCCTGCTGCGTAGATCCAGACCATTTCGAAATCGTGTCAAAATCCTGTCAAGCTGGAGGACGTCTTACTCCGACTCCTGTACCCCTCATTGTACGAGGAGGCAGGGAAGTCGGAGGAAGAATGCTCTACTTCAAAATAAGTGCCGTGTAGACGCTCCCTATTTCAAAATGAACTGTCCCTGAAAGGTGGGGCTCGAGCCCTCGACTGGGACTGGAGGTGGGTACCATATCCACTATGCCACTTGGGGAGCCCCCATCCCCCCCAATTGCCCTACATTCTGGGCCCCCCTTATCCTTCATTTGTTTCAAGCTATTTTGAAATAAGATACGCAATTGTATCTCAATTTTCATAGCTTATTTTGAGTTAAGCCCTGCTGTGTCCACGCACCCTTACAGTGGATTAGTGCCTTATTCCACAATGAAGCCTATTGGTTTCAATTGCAGAGCGAGTTTTAAGCTTGGGTGAAGATGGCACAATATGGCTGTTAGCACTGAGTTCCCCTGTCTCAGACATCTGTGGAGAAGAGATGCATTTTATCTACCCAGCGTTTCCTCGGTAGATCTCAAAACGCTTCATAAAAAAAAGACAGGCAAGAATCCTCATCCCCATTTTAAAAGAGTAGTGAGCAGCATCGCTTATTTTGTAGTGAACAAACGGGATGGGTGAACATTCAGTCAGCAAAATAACTTCAACTGAATGACATGTTTATTATAAAGTTCAGACAGAAACCCTGAGTTACCAGCCATAGAACAAAAATTAAATACTTTTTTTTTTTTTGCTCAGCATCATGGATTCCTGGATGGTTCAAAGTAAAACAAAAATAAAAAAGTGAGAAACCAAAGCCAACTCAAAAGACTTAACTTCACAACAGAGAATATTTTCCCTACCAGCATCTGTTCATCTGAAAGAGTCCTGAACAAAGGAGGAAAAAGGAGGAATGGTACAGATCCTGCAGGTATCTGGGACAGTTTAACACCCAAGCGGGTGCTTAAAATGGCTTATGCACTCTTACAGCAGCCATGTGGCTTGTGGGGGAAAACCAAAACCTACCGGATGACATTTAAAAATAGGTTTTACAAGCTGAACACAAACAAGGGGTGAAGAAAGTTATATGAACAGCTTCTCTGCTAGGGGCTTTGGACAGAACAGCTGTTAGTTTGACACTTGCGGAAGGTACAAAAACTATTTTTTAAGGTTGAGGGGAGAAGACTTCCAGCTGCACCAGCCCTGAACCCCAAATCAGAGGTGAAAGGTGATGTGTCTAGGACCAATATCTGGCCCTTCACAGGACAAGTCAAATCAGATCTGCTCTTTAGTGACATCATTACACGCATTATACATTCTAGTTCTCATATACACAAATGGATCCCTTTAAAAATGGTATCGATTTACACTTTTTAAAAAAGGTTTTACAGTGAACGGCTGCCCGGCCAGGCAAGTCTGCCGGGAGAAGAGCTAGTCTTTCGGAAGCAGAAAGGCACTTGGCCTTGATGTGCTTCGAGGAAGCGTCTGCAAACGGGTTTCTTTGCTGGAGTGGTTTTCCTGCCTCCCGTCTCAGCAGCTTGTGCAATGTCAGGAGGGCCATGGGCTGCCCACGTTCCCCCTACAGGGAGGTGGAGGGGAGCTTCTTCACCCGTCTCTGGGCGAGAATGGAGGTCTCAATGGGCTTGAGCTGGGGGCTTGGCTTGGAGCTGTTGATCGCGGAGTACGTTGCCGCCATGGCTCCCTAGGAGAAAAGGAGGAGAAAGGCCATTTCAGTGTCATGGGACAGCAGCCCCAACCCTATGGCAAAGCTCTTTATACCCCACTGAAAATTACTCCTGGCGGGCTGGCCAGCAGGCAAGAAACTGGGGCTTTTTAGAAGGGAGAGATCAGAAGTCGCTCTCTGTGCCTGCAGGAGCTCGTTTCTGCCTTGTACTTAATAACCACTGCAACTTCCCTCGGATCATCCCCTTGCCCTGGCATCAGGTCCCGACTACCTTACTTCCCACAGGAACGGTCACACCAAAGGCCCATCTCGCCCAGTGACCTGTCTTCCGACAGTGGCCAATGCCAGGTGCCCCAGAGGGAGTAAACAGAACAGGGAATCATCAAGCGATGCATCCCCTGTCCCCCATTCCCAGCTTCTGACAGAGGCTAGGGACATCATCCCTGCCTATCCTGACTAATAGCCATTGATGGACCTAACCTCCATGAATTTGTCTAGTTCTTTTTTGAACTTTTTTAAAGTCCTGGTCTTCACAACATCCTCTGGTGAGGAGTTCCACAGGTTGACTGTGCACTGTGTGAAGAAAAACTTGCTTTTGTTTGTTTTAAACCTGCTACATGTTAATTTCATGTGGTGACCCCTAGTTCTTGTGTTATGGGAACCAGTAAATAACTTTTCCTTATTCACTTTCTCCACACCTGAAGCATTGCTCTACATGCTGCCCAGAGGGGGTGATGGAGCAAGAGGGCACTGCGGAATGCCAGGCCCCGCCCCGCAATACGTACCTTTACAAGCTGCACATCCTGGTGTCTCAGCTGGCTCTGGGGTAAGGAGTCCTTGTGCGTTATCCAGGGATGCTGCAGGACTTGCTTGGCTGTCAGGCGCTGGTGAGGATCAACATGGAGCATCTTTGATACTAGATCCTGGAGCAAGCATTCACAAAGTCAGACTCCCGAAAGCTGGTGCAGGCCCATCTCATCCAGAGGCCAGACTTGGACGTTTGTAGCAGCAATGTGGCTTATGCATCAATGGCCTTGCTTGCTATTGCACCAACACTAACTGCAAGAGCTGAAGGCACAGAGTAGAAGGGCTCAACGGAGGCACCACGGCCCCGTTTCTGGAGCAAAACGTGCCTGTGGGATGGGAGCTTCTGAACCCCCATGTGGAGGAAGAGCAAGTGAAAGCAGGAGACGGGTTTATTTTAACAGGCTGCATGGGAGCTGCCCACCCGTCCTGTGCTACAGACTTTGTCCAGGCACCAGACCTTACCTTGGCTGCCTCAGAAACTGTGTCCCAGTTTCCCCCTTTGAGAGTAAACTTCCCTCCACCTATTCGAATCAGGATGTCCTCCGGGGTGTCACTGGGCCCGTTTGCAAAAGGAGTGTATCTGAAACACACAGACCATTTGCAGCTTCCTCTCCTAGCCCCGCAGAATGGAAAGCTGCGTTAAGGAAGCCACGGGGAGGCACAGCCACGAGCAACTCGTCCCCGGACAGACAGCGGGGCACTCAGCACCACCTCCCCCCGCCCCGCTCAGAGCAGCGGGTACCTACCCTGCCAGCATCGTGTAGAGGAGAATCCCTAAACTCCAGATGTCGCACCCTTCGTCGTAGCCTTGGCGTTTTAGTACCTGCACAGAACAAGCCCAGGGAGCGAGGTCAGTCCCCCTAGGAGTTCCTGCTCGCTCAGACAAGAGCATGGCTCTGAGGCCGGACCTTTCTAGGGCAGGATTACGGCCGTGGGCCGAAGGCTGGGATTCAGGGTGGTTGCAGAGGAAACATCCCGGGCCTGCCAGGAGGACGGCTCAGGTGGTAACGGCCGTGCTGCGTGTTCATTCTACCGTCCTCGGACACAGAGATGCTCACTGAATGAGGTGGCCAGTGCACTGGCCTTTCAGCCCCTTAGACGGGGGGCTTGTTTGCAAGCCAGTGACCCACAGAGTCCTGAGAATGGGGGGTTGCGGCTTCTCCAGCCCCACCACCAGAGCTGGTCTGTTACGGGGCCCAGAGAAAGGGTGAGACTGCAGGAGAGAGAAGCAAATCGGGGCAAGCTCCTAGGCTAGGAAAAGGAGCTGGCAAACCACCTGGGTTTGAATTGTGCCTCCACGTCAGGAAGAGGCCACGGACAGAGCGTTAAAAGAATTTCCGCTGCGGCCCACTTCCCCACGCAGGCCGCACGGCAGAGCATGCTCGAGCGAGCCCTGCCCGACGTGACAGCAGGAGCTGATGCTGGCCGAGAACTGGACAGCCCGAGCTACAGAGGGCAAGCGTCAGGTCACGAGCCGCCTACCTCTGGGGCCACAAAGTTGGCAGTGTAGCAAGGGGTCATGAGAAGGCCGTTCTCTGCCCTCAGCTGCTTGGCAAAGCCAAAGTCACAAATGCGGATGCTCTGTGGGTTTCCAGACTCATCGACATAGAGAATGTTGCTGGGTTTCAAGTCTCTATGAACCACCTGTGAAGCACAGAACAGCAGATGCAGTCACGGCCCTGACGGCGGCAGATGAAGCCAACGGCTTGGGCTTGGATTCCACACCTGGCCTCCCGCAAGATGGAAATGGATCCTCCCAGGCAGCTGGAGAAGGGGCAGGAGAGGAGCCCTGTGCCCACCTGCTTCCCGCTCGGGTGCACGCCAGCCTCCCATACTCACCCCTTGAGAATGCAGATACTCGACAGTTTTACAGATCGTGTGCAGCACAGAACTGGCCTCCCTCTCGGAGAAATACTTCTGTCTGAGGATCCTGTCCAACAGCTCCCCTCCTCTCATCAGCTCGGTCACCAGGTAAACGTGCTTCCCGTCGTCATACACCTGCCAGAGCAGACATGCAGGGGTCAGTGCCTCAAACAAACAGATCGTGTTCTCGTCCATCCATCCTCCCCGAGGTGCTGACACCCCACAGCCATAGTACACACACTTCCTGCATGGATTACGGCTGGGTTTTATCATTCAGGTCTACCTGGAGAGCTGAGCCGAGCTTTGACCGACAAGTGGAGGGGCTCCGGCAGCAGCCTCTCTCACCAAGCACTGCTGGGGGAGCGGGCTTGTTTACTGCCGCTGGCTCTCTGCCGGGGACCAGGGAAGGAATGGCGCATGCTCGCTGCTGAAAACCCGAAGGCACTCCAGACCCTGGGAGCTCAGCCAATCCAGAAACACGTCCAGGGAGAGCAGTCGAGTCACACGGGGCCGCTTTAGGAAGAAGCCCCTCGAAGCTAGGACTCGTAGCAATTGGGGGAGTTAAAAACCCCGGTGCACATGCACCAGGTCGTTGCCAAAGCAGCCTTTGATAGCTCTACCGCAAGCTCCACCGAATGTCTCCATCTCCCCCCAGCACATGCTGAGAGCTGACCCCTCCCCAGAGCTGCCCCCCTTCTCTGGTGGGGGGGAGTCTCCAGCGTGTCCACCTTGGCAGGCAGGCCTCTGCGCCTTACACTCGGCTGCACTCACGTCTTTCAGGGTGATGATGTTGGGGTGCTGGCCGTACCGCAGGAGGATCTCGATCTCCTCCGAAGGGTCTCGCTTACTCTTCTCGATGACCTGCAGGGAAGAGAGCACAGGGAAGGGTTACCCCGGCCAGGGAGGCGCTGTGCGAAAGGAGACACAACGAGGGGAGCGCTGTAGAATTTAGCTGGGGATGAGACTCCAAGTATTTCCACTCCCCTGGTTTTCCAGAGGGACTCATTTGACATGGCCAGGGTGACCAGGGGCCCGGCCCAGCCTTCCCTTGGGCTGAGCAGCATCGATGGAACCCTACTGCCCAGCACTGCAAGCGCAATTCCCGCAAAGCAACGTGTGGCACCAAACGTCCCTCTCCCAAAGGGAGAAAGCCGCTGCCCCACCCGCCCGCCCAGCCCTAAATCCAGCCGGGATTCTTGCCAGCCAGCGGCCTTTGGCTCCCATCTGTTCTCAGAGGCAGCTCCTCAAGACACAGGAGCCCCGCATGGGCGAGGGCACGTCGGAGAGACGGCAGACTGCAAACCTTGACGGCGTATTCCATGTTGGTGGCTTTATGAACGCAGCGTTTACACACGGAATAGGAGCCCACGCCGATCGTCTCCTTTATCATGTAGCCATCGCTAAACTGCAGGCTCTTCCCGTGCAGCTGCTACGGCGGGGTGAATGGAGAAATAGAACGGGGGGGAGAGAGCTAGTTTAGGGAAACATCCCAGTGTCTGGGCACCAAGACAACGGAGGCGGATCGACTGGCTGCTCCCTGCTCGGTCACCCTGCGCCCCGCCCCGGGAGGGGAGAAGAAGGGCAAATGCAGATCCCATTTCTTTAGCACCTTTCTGCACTGGGTGCCCCCTGATGAAATGCAGCAGCCTCTAGGGTGGGGGCAGCAGCCACATGGCACAGGGCGGGGCCAGTGCCCTGGTGTCCTTGGCTAACTGGTTTACCAGCCAGAGGAAGTTATGGGGACAGTCACAGGAGCTTCAGCCTCCAAGCAAAGCAGAAAGGACCCTGGTCTTTACGGCTGCAATTTTCAAGCACCCATTAGGCGTCTAAATCCTATTTCCATTTCAAAGGAGGCCGAACGCCCTTTGAAAATCCTCGGCCATCTCCCCTGAAAGGCCCACGCATTGCAAGCTGCATCGGCGCAACTGACTGGTCACTGCAGGGCCAAGGGCTGAGCAGGCCCCAGCAGAATATGAACCCTCCGCCCCCCGGGAGCAAACTGCACCACTGGGCCAAACCTTCCGGGATTGCTAATCTTGTAGCACGTGCAGGGCTGAGCTCTAGCACTCTGGCCACGGGAGGGTACAGGGGGAATTCTACCGCGGCCCTCTCAGCTGGCTTGCTAGGCCCAGCTGATCAAGAGCTGCCTTTTCTCTTCGACCTTCCCCTTGTTCACCCAGCCTGGCTCAGCCATTGAACTAACCCAGACACTTATCCGGAATCCACAGGGGACTGGTCAGGGGGCTTGCAAGGGGAAACCCCTCCTTTCCCACGGGAATAACCCTTGTCCGCAGGCTAGCGCCAGGCAGTCGCTGATCAGCCCTCAAGATCCAGCGACCCGCTCCGGGCTTCTGGAACCATTGTTGCCGTTGAAGATGGGACTGGAGCAAGGGAAGGCCTTTTACCTGGACCACTGAATTCAGTGGT